TTGATCTCATTTAATTATAAAGCGAATCTAAACGAAAAATATCTGAAGGTCCAACTTCTTCCAAGGTTTCATACAAAATGAAGAATGAACTGTAAGCTATAAGCTGTTTATGCTTAAATCAGTTTAAGCGCCTTCTGGTCGGCTTTGGGTCATCTGATTGAGTAATATTTCCATATCTCTGATAAATGTTCCAATATCTTAAAAATAACTGTCTTATATAAATTCAGCTTGTTCGCTGAATAAGTAAAGCTTATTTTTGAAAACTTGTATATTATCTCTTTAAACGAGTATAAAGATTTCAGAGTTAATCATGACTTGGTTGGTTGAAAAGGGAGGCGCAAAATCACCAGACCGTATGTGGCCACACTTTAGCCATTATTAGGCCTATTGTGCTCTTAAAAATATTTTACTTTCTTTCTACTTCTTCCTATCACTCAGAAATTGGCAGAAAACTACTTCGCAATTATATTGAACGTTCCAATACTACAATACTAAATATTCGCGTGGAGCTGATGACTTTATTAGAATTATAACGTTTTCTCTCAGAAAAATTGCTGGGGGTAAGTTTTAGGTGCTTAATTAGACGAAAAATATGATTAAACGGATCAAAAAAACATAGTTTTTAATTCAATAAATTGTTAGAAAAACTATGGAAAATATGTTCTAAAAACTTAAACCAAAACATCGACTCTTTCTATTAATTTAAGCCATTGAAGTGTATAGCCCTTCTTCAGTGACCGAGTGATACATTTTTTTCTCGGAACATAAGACAACACAGTCGGATAATAATATTTGCGAATTAATAAGAAACAGTATGTAAACCATCCTTCAGCCTTATGGTACCGTAAACTACCTCTTAGCTGCTGCATAACTTACATTTGCATATTTCTCTTTAAAGCTTGCAGAAAAAAAATTAATAAATGAGAATTAAGTTCTTGGAAATCCTCTAAGCTTTAATGTAATTATAAGACAAAAAGCGAGAGTTAAATAAATTGAAAAGAATTTAGTTGGAACTCAGCTTGAGAACATATAAAGCAATGTAAATAAGACTCAAATATACTAACCTGACCCAAATAGTAGGATAGTGTAGGTGTATGTATGTATCTATAGCTACCTGAAAGTGAAGCGCTCTTAGTTACACTGCATAAAAATATCAGTTATTAGAGAAGTGGAAGTTGCGCAATGCAGTTTAGCTGACGAAGTACCGTATAACTGAGTCCACAGAGTGGTTTAGTATGATGAGAGAGGAAAACTATAAATATAATTTATACTAAGAAATTTATATTTATATAATAAGAATGTTAGATAAAGCAGAATTTGTAAGCGAAGCACATTTTCCAACACGTCAGCTGGTCTAAGGAAATAGTCGCAGATAAGATACCGTTACAAATTGCACTACTTTACACAAATCTGAAGAATATTGAAGGGTATCATTTACAAATACACAGGCACACACACCTACACCACTGCAATAAATGAGAGCACAAAAGAAATTTGTTGAAAATTAATATTTAGACAATCTCAATACAGTCTAATATTACAGCGAACAGTAGCTGTTGACCTCATTCCCGACAACAAAAGGCACGTGCCACATTCGCCTGGTTGCGAACGTCACGTGTTGCCGACTGCTGTGATTGCTGGCGTTGTCGGTTGAGGTATTAGTGGCCAAAATCACTTTTTAGCGCTAAATAAAGCTCTGTGGCTTTGTTGTTGTTGTTGTTGTTAGGCGTGTAGTATATCAGTCCGGCAGACAGTTTGAGCCCAGCTATTCGGTCGTGCGGTAAGTGAGTCAACAAGTTAACTCGGTTGGTAGCGGTTGTTGTCGCAAGCATTTGCAAATGCACTTGTGTGCACTATCTGCTCAGCTACTTGGCTGTCTTTATGTACCTTTTGCTTTCATCTTGCTATCATTCCCTCTTACTGTGGCACTAAAAAGTGTTGCACCATGCATTATCTATGTGGCACATGCTGTGCATTTACGTTGAAAACCTATCACTTGAACACGTTTCACTTTGTCATCTGCTGCGCTAACAAACCACTCGTTTTATTATTCGTTGTTGCAATGGTGGGGTGACTCTTGTATATAATCAGTTGATCTTGGCGTAGGTGGCGACTTTTTATTTATTTTTTTTGAATAACGATAACCTGAAATGCTGTTTAAGGTTCGTGTCATATTTACTTATTGGGATTTTCATGTTTTATGACACAAGTTGCAATGTAAACCAAAATTAAAAAGTTGACAAGTTTTTTGAAAGTATATTTAAATCAGCAGGACTAGCGTAGTTTTATAGTATAAAAAACATAAACATGAGGGTGGGTCAAAAAAACAAAAGTTTTTTTTTCGCTTCGTACTCTAAAAAATTGGTTGATACACACCTCTGAGAAAGACTTCAAGTATGAGCTCTTAATTTTAACGGAAGGCGACTAACGGTTTTTTATTTTTTTCATATTTTCTTTTAGAAAAACTCATATCTCGCTTCCAACAACTTAAAAAAATCTCGTTTGATATGTTTTAAAGATATTATCGGTTGAAATTTGACTATATGAAGGCAAATTTGTTCTTTTCTTTTGAATTTCATAACTCATTTGAAAACCAAAATATTTTTTAAGTGCAAGGCCATTAGACTTATAGGAAATTTTCTACTCTACAAAAAAACAAAAAATAAAAACAAACAAAAGAAAAAAAAGACCATTTTTGTGAAGCACCTGTCCGTCTGCTGTACATACACGAACTAGTCCCGGAGTTTTTGAGATCTCCATCCAATATTTTGCACGACATCGGACCACTATAGCATAAAGACAGGGTTGCGATTTTTCTAATTCAATTATTTTGGATAAAAAAAATAAAGTTTTCATTTTTTAATCTAGGATGTTTGGGACTAAAAATTGAAAACTGAAAACATTATTTTTTGAATTAAATGAACGCGAAAAATGTTGATTCTCAAACAAATTATTTATTTTAATTCTTAGTTATTCCTTATTTATTTTTTGATTTTTAATCCGGTTTTGCGGAAATATCCCTAAATAAATTTTAAAAAAGCCAGAAAAAGAGATATTCAATTATTTTTTTTTACTCTCTGTATAAAATATAAAAGTTTTGCGATTTTCTTTGTTTTTTTTTTTTCTATAACAGTAATGATTAAAGTTTTGCATAGTTTTGAGCGAGGTATCAACCAAAATATTCAATTGCCTCGGTCACCTTTCTTGTTCTTAAAATAGAAATATCTACTCCGGAATGTTTTAATCGTCAGCATTATTATATGGAAATTTATAACGATAAATTTAATAAAATTTGTTACTATAATAACCCATAAATCCACTGCCGTCAAGTAACATACATTAATAAATTTCTTGAATTGTTACCTAGTATTTACCATAATACATATTAAACAATATAATATTCGAAATATGCCTGTAATGACCGTTAAGGCTACTGTCACGTTCTCACCAACATTTATTGTCCATGACTGCTTGTATAGAGCATATATCGTTTATGGAGCGACATTTTTGCAAGCAAATTAAATTAACATGGAAGAAATGTACAAGTTCATATTAACTCCATATAGAAGTTGAACATTTGTGCGAAATGGGCACAAGTGACAGCAGCAACGGGCATTCACTTAAAGTACTATATTTGTCCAAGCAGCACCCGCTTGCGGCAACTCCTTGAAGTAGTGCGAAGAACCAGCTTATACATACTTGTATAAGTATGTGTGTGGTCAACGCCCAGCTTGTGTGAGCGCACTTGCAGCTGCAATTTTTGCGTATTTCGTAGTTTATATTTTCGCATTGTTTGCATCATTTATTGCGATTCAGTTGAAATGAATGGAAAAATGGTCAGCAAATGAGAGCAGCTGCGGCGAAGTGCAGAAGTATGGGTGCGGTCAACAAAGCGAGTATTAATAAAAGACGCACAAAAGCGGATAGTAGAGAGTATATAAGAAAGAATTAGTGTGTGTGTGTGTGTGCTGGAAATATATGCGCAAGTGGACAAGCACATAGTTTACTATCTCTGTGTGCGTGCGTGTGAGTATGGGTGTGTGGCAGGATGTTAAAGGCTATGAAATTTAATATTATTTAATGTCCGCCATTGAAATGGCAAAGAAAAAGCAAAGTAATTACCACAATGAAGGCAAGGAAGTAAACACACGTGACACTTGTATGTGTGTGTGTGAGTGGCATAGAGGGAGAATGTGGCACTCATATATTCTAGCACATTGATGATATACATGAGTGTATGTGTCACATTGTCGTGCGTCGTTCTGCTTGGCCTGTGGCTTCATTTGTCTTTCATAAGAATTTCCAAGCATTCTTCTTTTTACATTATTTACTGCTGTTGTTGTCGTGCACTCAAGCCACTCGAGCAGTAATTCATTTGCCATTCTCATCCACACATACACAAACACACTCAAAACGCACACTTAAGCACACAGCCCTGTTAATTTTCATTCATAGTGATGCGTGCTTAAGCAACACATAACGGTACATATAGCATGTGGATATGTTATTGCTGAATGGCATGACTGGTCATTTCATTATCATATGTTTGCCATTAAAATGGCCAAATGAGATGAAATGCTAAAGGATTGTGCGGACACCACTTCGAACTTACCAACACTTATGCGTGCGTTTACATGCGAAAACATATGTTCACGCATACGCACACCCATGCACAATTTACTTTACACCGAAATTCATTTTAATGCGCACATTCACACGTACAAATGCTTGACCAACACGCTGTTCATTTGCTCATGGCCGTGCAAATGTAAAATATGCAACCATTCAATTAAATTGCCAGCCACTCACACGCACATACACACCCAAGCAGGAGAAAGTGTTGTGTGCGTATGTAAATGATGGCAATTCGACAAAGAGTCGGTCAATTGCCTCAGAAATAGGGACCATTTATGCATAGCAATCAGCTGCTCAAATGGCAGGCGCTGGGTTAAGGGCGCTTGCGCCAAACATTAAATGCATAAATCGCCTGCTGTACTTACCTTAGTAACTCGATATGACTTTTCGTGTTGCCATCCGTTTCTTTATATGCTTGTGTTTTGCTTCTTTTTGTGACTTCAAAATTATTATGCTGGTTTTATTTGCTTCCAGCGTGTGCTGCAAGTAGGGAAAAGGTGCAGATGAAATTATTGTAATTCGCTAAAAGCATAGGTAAGTGTTATTAATTATTTATGAGCCATAATGTATTCACTTTATTATGCATATCAATGTGCTTGCAAGGAAATGGAGCATTGCATGCTCTAAAAATTCTTAATGCTCGCATTTACTTATAATTTAAATATTTACGATTGGGTCTCGAAGACAATTCGTAGGGAGCGGTCAAGGATGTGATAAAACTCATTCCTATTTATGTTTTTTTTTTTGGTGCAATATCACCCTACTTGCAATAAAATATGTTTGCGAATTTTGACAAAATTTTTTTTAATGAAAATTATCATTAATATAATATATTGAGAAAAGGTTTATGTATATTACTTTGCGAAAATTTGGGTGTTACTGTTACAATACGAAATATATGGAAGAGACAGTCGGCCTGTTCTGTTATTCTCTAGTAATATTTTAATGCTCTCTAACCCAAGAGTTAACTCCGTAACTCACTAAACAAGCTTGCAACTACCACAGGAATATACTGGACAGATTCGGTTTCCAGTACGCATGATTACATTTCATAAAAGAAAAATCGACCAGTTTTGGTACAGGCGCACTCAATTTTTTGTCACTAATTTTCGCGCTCTAATAAATGACGAACATAATAAGGCTCTTATGAAACTTTTAAGTCGTAATAGATTACAATATAATAAATAGAACTAGTTCCAAAATAGTGCAAAATTACAAAAATTAAAGTAAAAGAAGAAATTAGTACTTATTTACTAGAAGTATGAAAATAATATGCTTGAAATCAAAAGGTTTGAATTTTTATCACTATAAGTCAATATTCATTCGCTTTATTTTCATTTTAATAATTTATTAAAAGAAAGGTGCAAAAACTTTGCTATCTAGTAATAATAGTTAAAGAAACGTTGAGAAGAATAATCAATTATATTGTTTGGATCATCATTATATCCACAATCATTATAACCAATGAGGAGCCATTTAGCAATTCAGTGGATTTGATGAAAAATTTGATTTTTCCCACCCTATTTGCCCAATGTATTTTGAATTGTAACATTGAGGGCTATGGCAGACATCTCATCTCAACCTTCTGAAAACTAGACATTCGACTAAGTATTATCATTCTACTTGCACGCTTCGCTTTCAGTCGATTTTAATTTACTAAAAGATTTAACACACAATATTCTCTCCCCAATAAAGTACCATCAGATAAACTTCAGTGATAATAAAACAACAATGATTTTCAAACTGTTTACCGGTGCAAAAATAAACAGCGAAAACGATTTTCATACACGAGAACCGGCAACTCTATTTTGAAATTGATAATCAACACTTAGATCGCATTGGTCAACAATTCATTGACGGACAATCGCAGTTTGTGGCATTATATTACAAAATTTGAGTATTGAAATTCAAGGTCTCGACATCTTTTGCTGCTATATCCCGTTCACGAATTCAATTTAAATTTTTATAATTTTGTGAAATGCAAGATGCGGTGATGGGAAATCGCAAATTTTAAACGGAACTATATCAACTAAATTAAAATATCAACATTGACTCATGCCAATTTCCAGCGACGATTTCAGGTATGCATTAAGTTCATCGGCAGCAGTCGATTTCATGATGACGGGAAGCGTTCGGTCAATTGCCGTCAAAGCTCGTTTCTGTGCCATTAAGCACTACTCTCAGATGATAATTTTCGCATTAATTTCTCTGTCTTTGAATTATTGGTCATTATACTCCCTGACTTGCCAAACTGTAAAAAGATTCATCGGCAGCTTGTAAGAGGAATATGCCGTTTGTACGGCTTTCAAAAATGTAGCAGCAACACTAAACAATGCAATTTGAAGTTTTGACCTCGCCTGTGTCACCGATGGCATTGAGAAAGTATCATATGTGCCTTTCAAATCGTACATGTTCGACGGATGACTTGTGGTTCGATGATCGGAAACAATGCACGAATTTATTCGCTGGATTAGCAACAGTTGCATCAGCTATTGTGGAGTTCCAATGTGTATCGTTTTGGAGGAAAATTCAAACTTTGTCGAGCTTTCCAAAAACTGATGCACAACACATCATTCACAGTACGCATTGAAATCGAAAGAAGTAGGACTGCTAATGTTTGCCAAGTGAAGTGGTGATAGAAACATTCGTTTCCGATAGACTGAGATCTGAGTGTATTCGTAATTACAACTTATGTGACGTTGAAATTCCTTCTTCCCTTCGTTTGCATTCCTTTAAGTTTTCTTTGATTTTCCATTTTAATCGACAATCCTACTAATTTTGATCTCTGCTTGAAAGTATGATATTTATAAGCTTTTAGCTCACAAGTTACAGTCCCAGCTATTAACTTGGAATTTCAACCAGTACGTGGAACGCTTTAATGAGTGTATTTGTAAAAGAGTGTGACGAATCAAAAGTGTTATCCTGAGACCAAGAAGGCATACTTACTATTTTTTCTCATTCTAATGCAGGCAAAAGTGATTTAAGCCGACATTCACACACATTCGTATATTAATACTGAGAGATACGCAAAGTCACTGAATGCTTGGAAAGTCATGCACTTGGGCACGCGTTCTATGAAGCTTATACCTCTATACTTTCCAACCTGTTAGCTCAAAATATTAGTTTCCATCATAAAAATTTATTAGAAGGGAATATTGTTTTGTTGATTTTAAGTTAGTTAGTTAATTAGTCCCCTTCAGCTTTTTAACTTTGAAGAGGATAGTTGAGTATCTCAAAAATTAACTAACTTAAAAGGGTTAATTAGTAATTAAAATAAAGAAACTGCAGCGCAATATAATCAATAAATCTTTGTTCACTTTTTGCTTGGCATTCGTCAACGGTTTAATCATACCATAGATCCTTACTTATCTCACTAAGTATCCTCACCCACAGTCAAATTACGCTAATTGCTTTGGCAGTTAAATTTGCTATTTACTGAACTGTCTAGAGTTGCCTACGAATGTAGTTAGCCTGTTCTTCTGACATTCTTTGTATATTTACGGCTTCAAAAAATTTCAGAACGCACACACGCACACCCATTAGCGCCATATCCTTGATAGCGATATTATTTTTTAATTATCACAGCTAATTTGTTGGCAGCACCAAACCGCCTCCTGGTGCAATGACGTTGAGTGGCGAAAAGTTTTTAAGGCGAATTTAATTTAAACTCTCCTGTTGCATGCTGCTACAACACAAACACAAACATACCAAAATTGTCACAAGAATTCGCCGAAAATTGCAGACAAAAAACATTTCCACGAACTCAACGGAATTTCGATTTTTCTAACGAATTTCTCCCTTCGCTTCGCCGTTTCAACTGTTGAGGTTGTCGAAGGAAGTGAAAACGTTCTAAATTTCAAAGAGGAAGTCGCAAAAAAATGTCATTAATTTCGTTTCAACCGCCCACTGTGTTTTGCCTTGTTGTTGCCCAAATCCGTGTGTGTGTGTGCGTGTGGTTGTGGTTAAAAATTACACAGCGCGGCTTTTTTGTTTTTGCTGTTCATGCTGTGCTCCGCTTTCATTTGCGCTTTTGTTGTTGGTTTACACATTAATCCGCATATTTAACTTTGCCACAACAGCGTTTTTGTTTGTTACCCAGCTTCCGGTTTCATGCCGCTACACAAGCTGCTCACAGACTCCGAATCCGTTAGTATTTTATCAAAATTCCTATGTCGGCGCGAGACTCCGTTGCTCATACATAAATTTCACATTTCTTCCGTTGTGTGAGAGTTTAGAGAGCGCAGCAGCATGTTCGGTTGCTGAGCAATTTTGCTTCACTCAGCTTTAAAAAGTCATATTACAAGCATATACATACATACGTGTATAACTGTGCATATGTAGCTTACTGTCGTGCAGCGCTTTCTACAATAATTCTCTCCTCATTCCAGTTTGCGAAGTTGTGAAAGAGAGAGATTTTTAATTAAAATTTTAATAAATATGTAATAAAAGTTAGAAAAGGATTTCTTCTCGTCAACGTTTTCCGTTATTCAGCACTTCCGTTTCGCACGCTTTAGTTGTCAATGCTTGAAAAAAAGTCTTAAAGATTTTTTTTTATATTCTTGCTTAAAAGCGCAAATTTTATTTTAGAAATTAGAAATTTCGGCAGAAGAACTCATTATTTTTTCAGCAGTATTAAATAATATTTAGGTCCAACTTAATAATCGGCAATGTATGTTTTTAAAAAGACTGACTACCTAAGACTACGAAGATGATTTATCCTCAGTCTCGCAAAGGCTGGGCAATGAAGGATAAAGAGCCTGGAAGTTTCCAACGCACGTTCTTCTCTACAATTTTGACAACTTGTGTCTGATAGCTTTTTAGCTATATCACATTTATTGGACAATGTACAGTAACTATTGCGGCAAGAAGACTTCGTTAATGGCAAGTAGCTCAGTAGCTCTCTTGTGGTTCACTATAGTTCAAAAGGATCTCGCAATCGCACAGGAGCGGGTCGACTGCCAACGCGGGCTAAGCGAAGCTAGGTCCATTAGTGTGGTGAAAGATGAAGATACATATGAATGTACCGATGTGAGCAAGGTAAGCGTCACCTCTCTTACTAGCTTATCGTTTTTGCAGTCCGTCTACTGCCACCTTAATAGCAGCCACATCTGCCTAAGAGCCTATAAGGATCCGGTAGTCTAAAGCTAAGATATACTGACAGCTCCTTACAAAAAACATTCCTCCTACCTTCTCACCTAGCTTCGATACATCTGTGAAAAAGCTCACTGCGCCTCTTCCCCACCATCACATTCCCATCCACATATCCTTCGTCGATATGTAAGCAGATAAAAAGCAACCACGAAGAGCCTCTGAGACATAGTAATCCAAGTTTTCAGGAATGCAGCTGAAGCAGCAGAGAATTTCACGTTCACGTGCTTCTCTGCAACCATAGCCTTTTCGAGTGCCCTCCACCAGACAAATATACCACAGAATATAATTGGCTTCATTGCGATTTCTTTTGAGCCAAAACACCACCTTTC